CCCCAAAACCCCAAAACCCCAAAACCCCAAAACCCCAATCTCAGGCTCAGATATTGAAGTTATATTATCAGCGCTCTCTGAGGAATAAATGAATCAATCTTTGGCTCATTTTGGAGATAATCTGGCAGGCTGTATTCTAGATCCTTGTGATTCCTGATATAGTATGCAAGCTCGTCCTTGAGTGCTCTCATAACTACCTTCTTCCTGACCTCTTTGTGGCTGCTTCCATCAACCTCTTTCTGCTTTGGAAGTGATAATCTTTGATCAAGTTCTTTTGCTTCTGAAATAAGGCCAAATATTTTATCACAAGCTTTTCTTTGATTTCTAAACTTTGTCTCAGATAGCTTGATCTTATTTTTCTCAACTCCGAGCTTCGCCTTTTGAAGTTCAAGTTGTTCTTTAATACCCAAAATTTTGTCATATACTCTATGGCTTCCTCCCTCCCCAATAGATGGTTCCTAAAAGGTTTAAAAAACTCATACCTGAGTTGCTTTACTGATTTCCTCTATTCGTTGGACAAGTTCCTTATCTAATTGATCTGTGACTTCTTTATCCTTGAAGATCTCTTTTTCCTTGCCTTCAACAGTTTCCTTTTCTCTTGTGAAAAACTGCTGGAGATCTTCAAGATCCTCAATACCTACATCAATATCTGAACCGAGTGGCTTGAGGTCTTTCTTAGGCTGGCTGATAATCTTTTTGATGTCAAGAATACCGTATTTGATCTCTAGCCCAGCTTTCCGTTTAAATTTTTTATTGCCATTCTTCATATCTAGCTTTTCAATTTTGTATTCAAGAACACTCAGCTTCTCCATTTTGTCAATAAGCTCTTGTTCTAAGTCTTTCGGGTTGATAGATTCAAGCTCCTTTGGAATGTAGGGCTGTTCAGAATTGCTGGCTCTTAGTTGTATATCTCTCAACTCTTTCTGTAATGCAGCATTTTCATCATCCATTGCCTCTACAGCTTCTCTCAGAATCTTTAATTTCGTACTTTTTCACTGGTTCTGGTACAGGACTTCTCGAAGTTCTTTCTGCTGCTCAATATCTTTCTTCAGCTCAGAGAATCTTTCCTGGCTAGGCTTAAGTTCATACTCATACTCAGAAATAAGCCCTTGAGCCTCTTGTTCCACAAATCTCTCCTTCTTCTTAGCTGCTTCCTCAAGTTTCAGCCTATTACTTTTCGCAATCTCAATCTGCTTCATCCTCAGTCTATTCCCCTCAGATTCCTTCTTCCCATCATTAGTCAGCTTAAGGATCTCCATCCGTGCTCTTAACGCTTGCTTAGATTCCTCTCTAAAATTCTTCACCAAGTACTCAACTTCTTCACTAGCTTCGGCTATTCTCTAAAAATCACACCTAAATCTCACCTTTCTGGTCTTATCAGCGTATCTTTTCTCTATCGAGTCTCTTTCATCGTTGAAGAATTTCTTGTTGAGTTCTGATTTTTGGTTCAGAATCTTATTTTTGGGACTGAAGTTTTTGGGTGAGATCTTCACGGATTTTCTTTATAATCGGCTGCTTATCAATCTCTATTTTCTCTTCTTGCTCAATAGTCCTGGTGATCCTTTCTCGTTCATTTCTGATTTGGTCCTCCAAGAGCTCTTCTTCTTGACTGATCCTTTGCTGGGTGTACACTTGGAATTTTGACTTTAAGAGGTCTTTTTCATGAGAGAGTTTTCGATCGAAATGGGCCTCCAAAGCATCACATTCAAGCTTGTAGTTGCTCTTTAGCATTTGGGAGATGATTGAGAGGAACATTGAGGCGTTTAGATTTGGTTTGTCAGAAGAGGTGTGGAGATTTAGATTGTTTCTAGAGATGAGGGGCTGTAGTTTACTTGGCTTTATCAAGCTGTCTTTTGAAATCATTCTTTAACTCTTTTTCAAGTTTATTTAAAATTCAGTCTAGTCTCAGCCTCGTAGATGTCTCTATCCTTCTCTTTTGAGGGTTTCTGAGATTTTTGTCTACAAATTAAACAGAGGTTTACTTAGAGCTATTCTTAGGAGAATTTGAGCTTCCTCTTTTACCTCTTTTCTGTTCATTTATCATGCTCTGTACTAGCTCCTTACGTTTTTCTTGAACCATTTTATTTATACTTTTTGCTTCAAAATTTCACAACTACAGAGTTAATATTTGTGGTGGTTTTTCCAGAGTTATAGTTATAAAACCCGGCAAAGTTGTGATGTTTGTCATAAGTTATATTTGCCACTCATTCATGAAATCAAAGTAAGCTTTCTTTGCAATCTCTAAGAGAGACTTGTCATCATCTGGGTCTATATCTAGTTCGTGAAGGAACAGATCTTCTATATTTATTGGCAAATTTTGGTCACTCATATTTAAAATTATTTAAATATTTTCTGGGGTTTTGGGGTTTTGGGGTTTTGGGG